GTTGTTTCTCTATATAAACTATAGTAAACTTTACCCCCTCCCCAAGGGAGAACGGATAGCTCGGGGGTCCTGAAATTTACAATTTAAATTACAATTTAAAGAAAGCTTTATAGCACTCTTTCCCAGGTACCTACTTATCCAAATATCATTGTTCTAGGCATATTTCGGCCCGCCCCTCAGGCCCTTTTTGGGGGGGGTTGGTGTTAGATTGATATAATTCATAGGAACTTAAGTAGATGTTGTTATGAGATATTCCACCCCTGTCACTTTGAATGAAAATCATTCACCCGAAAACATAACAATAAGCTATCCCAAGTGCATTCTGGTTAAAAAATATCACAAAAGGCTTTCAGAAATTTGACATGATGTTTTTTAAAATATTCTTACAAATTCTGCCCCTGTGAACTTGAAGGAAAGTCGGAATCATTTTTATGAAAACTTATGACAGCTAATTCCATCCAAGCTCCCTCCTGGTCAAATACATATACCATGACATAGCCTCTTCTGAAAATTTAGAGTCCATTTAAAGATTTTAACATATTTAGCACCTGTGACCATGAAAGAATGTCAGTATGAATTATTTGAAACCCTGTGACAGCCCTCCATCCCTGCTACTTACTTGTCAAATACAAATGTATCCCGATGATTGGGTTACTGAAATTAAAGTGATTTTAACATATTTTACCCCTGTTACTTTGAATAAAAGTCAAGGTCATTTATTTTAACAACTTTGATAACCTTTACCCCAGCTACCATTTGAACAAAATCCCATAACCCTAGTCTTTCTGAAACTTGAAACAATGTTATGTAAATATTATAACTTATTTAAAACGTGTGACCTTGAACGAAGGTCAAGGTTATTTATTTGAATAACTTGATAGCGACCAACTCCAGCTATCTGTTGGTCATATACCGTACTTCTTGGCCTTCTAGTAATTAGAATGTCAATATTTCAGTTGTTAAGACAGCAAACAACGAACAATGGCAGAAGGTAATAATTGTACATAATAGCTAGCTACAAGTCAAATACAGTAAAACCCCACTTCTTCTAACTAAGTTTACTCGAATACCCCTTATTCGTCGAACAGTCCGTACATATTCTTTGTAAAGTAACCCCAGATTAGTCTAACCGTTATTCCTCGAATACCACCAATTCCTCGAATACCCCCTATTCCTAGAACACACTTTTGTTCCCGTAAAGAAATCGACAGACGACAGATGCCGCTATATCGCACAAGCTCACCGTATCTTTCTGACTAGGTGAGCTAATAAAGGAATACTAGTACTCATATACTATACATAATGCTGTTTATTATACAAATTGTGTCAATTCTTCACACAAAGTCATGTAATTGTTTTCACAAAGTTCACAATACAAATATATTTCAGTACAATTCACATTTCACTACCATACTATTATTATCTCCCAATCAAAGGCATCCAACCTGTTTTCTCTATTATAATGCGATATCCATAAATACATTATACTAGAATATTTAAATTGATGTAAACATTCCTGAAGAAACATTCTACATCATGTAAGCACAAAACATTCTTTTCACTTTATACAGAATCGTGTGACATGTAAATTATATTTAATTTTTAAGTACATATACACGTGTTATATCTGTCTCATTGTTCAGACTGATAAAATTAGGTTTCCAAAGTAACAGTATATTGTTATATACAGAATACAGACAATTAATAAATACTGCAAAAAAAAACCACCACAAAATATCTTTCTTTCAAAATGGCCATGGAAAGGTATTACATTTTTTTTCAAGAATATGCAAGGAAAATAATAAATTCCAAAACAAGTGAATATTTTTATGTAAAAAATCATGCTGCATTCTACAATTGTTGTTGGATGACATTGTGAAATATATTGGGTAAATGCCCGAACCTGCCGAGCATCAAAATACAACTGGTCCAGGGTTCGAGCCAAGAACTTCCAATCATTATACTGTTACATTAACATACTGCTTACAACTGGACCAGGCCAGGATTCAAACCCAAGACTCCAGATCATTATACAGATAAATATTATATCAAGGTATGGTTCAAACTGTATTAGGCAAAAAGGGCAGAATACAGAAAAGACAACTGAAGTAAATCATTTTATTGAAACGTACTAAAACTTATGGACACATGAAGATGTTGATGCTCTATGACCTTGACATTGGGGAAATGACCTTGTGTCATTGTCATCACACAACCCTGTGTTATGGGCAGCAATCTTCTTCAGCTGAATTGATACAAAAAGTTGAAAAGATAAATTACTGAGAACACTCTTGGGGAACAATCTGATAAAGTTTGGTATGTCTAAGAAAGAATGACAAATGTACGAGTCAGACATGCTATTGTGAACAATATGTGTACGGACAGACAGACAGGCAGACGAATGAATAATGTCAAACCATAATACATCCCTACGTTACATGCGGGCTTACAAAAAGTAACAGTCACATTGCTCGTGGCTCCCTGAAACAAGAACTGGTAGGGGTTCTCATACTAGAGCAACATATTATGTTGATCAAATTCCTTTCAGAAATAAATTCACTAAAGCGATAAATACTTTCTATAAATAGTTACAATGACCATGACTTTGGGACCCTTAAAAGTAAACTTGCTTGAGGTACATGTATTCTCATAAGTTGACCATTAATGAAGTTTTATGGAAATTCGTGCAGGAATGAAGTTGCTAGAGTGATGAGAAATTCTATAAATAAAATGATGACGTTAACTTTGGCACCTTCAAACATGAAAGTATTTGAGCTATTCTCATACCTAGCCAATGTCTGGAATTTGATAAAGGTCCTTTAGAGGTGAACTTGCTAGAGCAATGACAAAATGTGACTTTATGTACGAATCGCTCAAGTATAGTCATACAAAGCCAATGCTATATCCCCTCCACAACCTTTTTGCGAGGAAATAATAACCTTATCTACAGATGATAGAATTAGAAGTTATATGATACTAGTCAGAAAATTCAAATGTAACTTATATATTTAACTTTACTATTGCATAAAAAATAACAATTATCAGCACAAGTGATCATATTTGTTATCAAAGCATGGGAAAAACAACAATTGGTTATATACGTTGCGGAAATGATATTAATCTAGACTATATAATATGATAAGGGTGTATGAAAGAAATCTGTTCCATAAATTATGGTTGGAAATATACAAGAAAACATACAGGTATTATGTGTTTTGACACAGACATTTTATCAAGCTGTATCACGTGTCTGTGGGACTCTACACGAGGATATTTCAAGACGTATGTCTTCTTTACACAACTAAAAAATACTGGAAGTTCGCCAAGGAAACGTTGGAATTTATATCGTATTAAGACACATGCATAATGTGCAGTTTTGCTAAATGGACTTTTTATCTTGCTAAATGTGAATTTATACCTGAAACAAGTCATATTTCACTCCTGACAAAGTCTGTTTTGTCATTTGTGAGGCCAGACCTCCTCGCAATTTTTCCCCACTGCCGAAGCCTGAAGGCGACATCCTTGTACCAGTTAACACTCCTTGCAAAAGAATTAAAGTTCGTTTTTTGAACTCATTGAATTGAAAAAAATACAAGTCTACCATCCAATAAATGAGGATAAATTCTATTATAAATAAATTGGTTTAGACAATTAAAGATCAACAAATTGAACAATCTATAAAAAAATACAATAAAAAAATGTCTTGATAATATTTGAAATGATGAGGTTTACAAATCTCTACAGGTGAACTGTGTAATCCACGGTAAAATATATACTCTAGACATGATGTTTATCCTTGATATCGTTCCAATTTATCAAAAATGTATCCAAGTTAACTGCTGTTTGGGTTTCATTCATCCACAGGACTTCACATTCATACTTGCAAACTTTTTAAAATTTCCATGGAGGAGATTACACATTCTCATTATAAACTTACACAGAAAACTTTTCAAAACTGAAAAAAATCCTCGTTTAAACAATTCATCTTGACATGATCTTTGCACATGATTGTTTTAAAAGGTTTGTGTTGATAATAATTGTACATTATTTTTTGGGAAATCATTATCATATTTATTTACCAAACACTTTAATAAGATGATCTAACAAACGATTGTTTTCTGTCCCCCATTCCTTCGCCCTTTCCTCTGCCCCTTCCTTCGCCTTGTCTAAAACAGATTTCCCGTTATTGTCAAGTATGGTTGTGATGTCATACTTCCGTCCTGTAGATTCTAGGTATTGTTTTACACGAGTTTCACACTCGGCGAACATGTCTACATCTGACAACATTGACCTAGCTAAGTAATGAAGACAATGACGACCGTCCTTACTTACAGCTGTTGTTAGTGCTGGGTACGACTGACATAAATATAAGCAAACCTCACTGTTACCCATCACACAGCTATAATGTAACACCGTTCTCCCGTCGTTATCTACAGCTGTAGTTAGTGCTGGGTACGACTGACATAAATATAAACAAACCTCACTGTTACCCATCACACAGCTATAATGTAACACCGTTCTCCCTGACACATCCACAAACTGAGCCATGTACTGAGCACACACACAGTTCCTATGAACTACACGACCATCAACTGACTCACACTTATGTTGTTGGTCCTCAACTCTATTTAAGGTGTTAAGTACACATCTCTCCACTGGCTGAAACATAAAACGATTTCCTGTCCCTGCCACAACATTAAGCGGGGTTTGTCCTCCTGCACTATCATGTACCAAGTGTGGGTAAGTGTCGCATAACAACATCACCATCTCTTCTCTCTCATAGGTATACAAACACGCCCTGTGTAGGACATTTCTATTGATAGAATCCCTCGCTGTAGGAGTAACGTCATACTGCAGTAGTTTACGTAATACTTTCACACTCCCTCTCTCCACCACACTAAACACTGTCTCCTTGTCAGGTTCTACTCCCTCACCCAGAAGATATAAAGCACATTCTTCTGCAAAAGAATCACATGTTTTATTTAACAAATCAACTTTTGTCTCATAATTCAAGTATACAACAATTTTCTTAAGTAAGCACACTTGTCTGTTACTATCATTCCAATGTCTGTAAAACAATGACCACAATGCTGTGTGCTTGTCAGGTTTTACACCTTCTGACAGAAGATATAAAACACATTCTTCTTTACCACAAAAACATGCGTTATTTAACACAACAACTTTTGTCTCATCATTCAAGTATTCACAAATTTTCTTAAGTAAACACCCTTGTCTGTTACTATCAGTCCAATGTCTGGCAATCAATGACCACAATGCTGTGTGCTTGTCAGGTTTTACACCTTCTGACAGAAGATATAAAACACATTCTTCTGCACCATCAGAACATGCTTTATTCAACACATCAACTTTTGTCTCATCATTCAAGTATACGACAATTTCCTTAAGTAAGCACACTTGTCTGTTACTATCATTCCAATGTCTGTAAAACAATGAGATCCATTCTGTGTCCTTGTCAGGTTTTACACCTTCTGACAGAAGATATAAAACACATTCGTCTGCACCAGAAGAACATATTTTATTCAACACATCAACTTTTGTCTCATCATTCAAGTATACGACAATTTCCTTAACTAAGCACACTTGTCTGTTACTATCATTCCCATGTCTGTAAAACAATGAGATCCATTCTGTGTCCTTGTCAGGTTTTACACCTTCTGACAGAAGATATAAAACACATTCTTCTGCACCATCAGAACATGCTTTATTCAACACATCAACTTTTGTCTCATCATTCAAGTATACAACAATTTTCTTAAGTAAAGACACCTGTCTGTTACTATCATTCCAATATATGTAAATCAATGAGAACCATTCTGTGTCCTTGTCAGGATTTACACCTTCTGACAGAAGATATAAAACACATTCTTCTACACCACGAAAACAGGCTTTATTTAACACATCAACTTTTGTCTCATTATTCAAGTATTCACAAAGTTTCTTAAGTAAGCACACTTGTCTGTTACTATCATTCCAATGTCTGGCAATCAATGAGATCCATGCTGTGTCCTTGTCAGGTTTTACACCTTCTGACAGAAGATATAAAACACATTCTTCTACACCAGAATAACATGCTTTATTCAACACAGCAAGTTTATCAACTTTTCTGTCATTCAACAACCCGACAAATCTTTTAACAAATACAGGATCATTCCATACATCTAGAGAGCCAATACTAGTACCAAATTGATTTTTCTGACATTCAAACTCTCGGAGTAGACGCTCACACATTTCTGTATAATGGTCAGATGATATGACAATCATATTTGTAGCTGTCTCTGAGGTTGTTAGATAACTGAGGAATTTGCTGGGACAATTCTGTATGTAGCCAATCGGTGTGACTTTTCCATACAAAAATGCCACAGCAACATCAATAGAACCATGATTAAATCTGTACACATCCCCACTATACAACAAAGGTTTCCCTGTCACTACTAAATCCTTACCAAGCCACCGATGTTTCTGCTTCACTACTAAAAATCCTAACAATTTGTCTAAACTTTCTTTTACAAATTCTACTTTTTTCTTATATGTCAATTTTGTACTGTCATCTTCAGCATCAATCAAATTGATTTCAAAAGCTTCTTCCAGCAATTTTTCATCGACTTTTTTACTGTTTGGATCAAGATCTTTTACTCTTAGCATTCCGTTATTGAGGAAGAGGCACAAAAGTGCAGAACATTCTTGTAATCTTGACAATGCTTCATTCAAGAAATGAAATGGATTTTCAAAAAATTTAACTCCCTCTTTCTGCATTTCTTCAGAATTGTAGAAAAGCTGGCAACATTGTGGGAATCCAATGTTTGGTGCATAATTTGAAATTTGGTTTTTTTCTTGATCTGTCCATGAAAGGTTTTTTGGCTTATACAGCTCTAAAAGTTCATTTTTTTCTTCTGCAAGTATGTATGTTTGCGAACTCAGATCAATAATGTTATCTTTGGTTAAAATTGCTCCAAGAGAACGTTTTTCCAAAGAATTGAATACTTCATTACGAATAGTAATGATGAGAAAATTGGGCTGGGTTTGTTTATCTACAAAAAGTGTTTCAACGTCTGATATTCTTTTGTTCCACTCTTGTACATCCTTTTTACATACATCTTTCTCACCAAAAATATCATCAATAAAAGTGATTAATTTCAAGTTTGGAGCCAATAAATCTAATTTCTTAAACTTGTGAATTTGTAGGGGTTGTCCGGCTTGCTGCTCCTCACTCAACCAATGAAGGAGTCGAACGGCGATTGCTGTTTTACCGTCTCCCGTGTTTCCCTTGATGACAACAACCCTGTTCTTTTGAAGCTTGTCTTTAGCATCACAGAAACCTTTGGTGGGGTAGAATTTTTTCTCCTCTTTTTCTTTTTTTATTCTGGCTTTGGCTGTGTCTGAATGAAAATAAAATAAAAAAAAATATAAGGTGAGAAGTCTTAATTGTGTGAAATCGATATTTCAGAATGAAACTTATGTAACTTTAATAACTTTTAAGTCAAAGTTTTGTTTTCATTTTACTTTCAAATACAGAATATTGTCGGAATCATTTGTTAAGGAGGAGTTGAATGAACAAATTAATTGTAGTATCATAAAATATATCGACTGATATTTTACCAATCATAGCAAAAAATATGTAACCTGTTAGGATAGCCAATCAACACCAATTTAGAAACTTCATTCTCACAAAACATTATGTTAGAAAAAATCAGTTTCCAAACCATTCAAAATCACAGAGAATCATGACATCACAAATACATTTAGTATGACGTCACAAGATGTGGTATTTTTGGCAGTCAGATAGTGTTAATCGACCGAAATTCTTTCTACATTATGTTTATTTATTTATGTTCGAATTATATGTTAAACTAAGTCTTGGCATGTTTATCCAAAAAAAAGTAATTATTTATAATGTATCTGCTAGGGATAAAACCCAGGACCTCTGGTTTACTTGTCTTGTGCTCTATCAAATGATCTACGGGTATTTCCTTTTAGCCCAATAGGTAGAGGGTCAGACTAGTATGTCAATGGTCCCAGGTTCAATCCCTAACAGAGACATTGCAATCATGAATGATGTAACTTATAGTTGTTACAGAACAAGAACGCTAAGCCTTAAGTAAGGGCCTTGAATCCCTCACCTGATTAATTGGAAATCAAGTTGCAATCTGGCCGATAATTTGGGACGAGAGTGTCTAGGAAGATCAGCCCTTTGTATTAATTTAATCTATTTGCGTAAATTTTGATCCCCGTGGGTGAAGGACACTACCACAGCAATTTTCTTAAAATCTGCGATGTAATTTGGGAAGAGATGTCATTTAAGTTGAACTTCCCTTGGCGTAAATATTTTAGAAATTAGTTGAACTCTGCTTAACGTTTTAGGAGATGTCATTTAAAGAAAAAAATGATCGAAAACAGAGACGACGACAGATGAAGCACCACCACAAAAGCTCACTAGTACTTTAATGTTCCAGTTGAGCTTAAAATTCCAATCTGATTTAAACAAAATCGTTCATTCTGTTCCTCTACAATATCTATGCTGTAAGATCTGATGACATGACATCAGGGGTCATGCTCTGGTGACCATCAATACAGAAGTCGTGTTAAATTACATGTATTTGAAATATTGAGACTATTTTGAGGGCATTTCAAAGATTGGCTGCAATTGCATTCACCAGAACATGAGCTGTTATGAACTTGTCATTAGATCCTTCACTAGTCTGTGGAAACAGAGAAAGAATTGGTGTTAAATCTGATTACGATGAGTACTCTGTTGGAAAACCAAGATTCTTGTTCAAATAGAACTATAAAACTTCTTTCATATATCTTTAGATGGTGCATGTAGTTATGTTCCATGTTTTGAGGAAATCTGCTGCATTTCTTCTCTAACCATATCCAATCCAGTAGATAAGACTCACCTATCATGGGTTCTAAGTCAGGATGGATTTCTGTAAAATAAGAGGTTAACATTAAATTGGTAAGATGCAATCTGCATTATAAACAGATTATTTATTCCAGACAAATAGTCTTACTACTTACATCTTATACAGTGATCTGAACCTGACAAGTCGGTTACCAAACAATTGATCATAATAGTACACTAGTAGATATCATGACATGTCTTTTGACTCACAAACACCTTATATCAATTTTATGTCAAAATAACCATGCTGTATCTTTTACATAAACGATTCACTAAATCACCTGATGATCTGTTTAAAATTAATTAAAAGGGGAGAATAACTCCATATGTTTAATAACGAAGCTACTTGACTATCCAGTCACTTAAGACCAAAGACAAAAGTAGCTGGACTATCAATGTATTCCGATAAACTGTTGTATATCTTTTCAAAACAGTCCACTGTACTTATAGTTTTTTCATTCAAATTCAGAAAACAACCTGCTAGTAAAATATAACCAGATGTTACGTCTGGTTATAAAGGCCTGTGGATAACACTGCAGCTGTCAAACTTACTTTTGGCTTGGCCTGTGTCTGCTGTTGTAACAATCATGGCAGCCGGATCTGGAAAAAGATGAAAAACAGGTTTATTGATCATGACTATCCAAATAATTCCAATTCTGATTATAGTAAGTTTATCAATTTATTTCCCATACAGTTTTAACGAAGTTTCATCCACCATACAAACACAACGAACTCATGCTTATACCTGGACTGATAGAACTACAACAAAAGATTGCAAAGATTTTTTAACAATAGTCCTATTATAACCATCTCTATATTGAAGGATGTTACAACATTGACTCCATTTATATAATTTTAGTCTGCTGGATAACCGAACTACTCGGTAGTGAAGCAGATGTAAAACCAATCAATCAATCAATCAATCATATAATTTTACAGTGAGTGAGTTGACTAACTATTTGATGTTGATGACAACATGATAAAAGTAACAGAACACCTGAGATCCCAAATAACATGGAAAGCTTAAATTCTATATTAGATTTTCAGATCCATCTTTGATTGGAGCATGTACAACTATGGACCAAGGAGATCCTTTATACCAAGGTTTACACTACCTGTTTACATAACATCATCCAAGTATGATGGCTCAGGTCCTTTTTGTTCTTCAGATAATTATTGTTGTAAATTTGACCCTCTGACCTTGAAAGGATGCCAATGTCTTTTATATGAGGAAACTTAATAGAGTTTCATCTCCTGTACCTGCTGGCCAATTATCAGAAACCCTGATCAGAATACTCTTAAACTACAGGCAAAAAGCGATTTGAACAACCAGCATGGTGGGGTTATCATAATAATCATAAAAACACAAGTTAATGGTGGAATGAAGTATGATGATAACATAAAGCTTGACCTGAACTCCTGTTCTTTCCTTTTTGGCCCCACCCATCACCCCCGTGGGGGTCAGTCAGGGCTCATATGTGCATACCATTAAACTGCTATCCAATACTGATAATGCTAACCCAACTTGAATTACTTCCAATGGAAATTAAACAAATGTTGGTCCAAAATGTGATTTCGCTATATAAACTATAGTAAAGTTTACCCCCTACCCATGCGTTAACGCTAGACCCAAGGGTCATGAAATTCAAAATTTTAATAGAGCACCTTAAGACCCTTCCATCTATGAAGAGTATTTGATTGAAAATGAAGATCGAATTCCACTATCATTATTTAATAGGATAACAAACCAATAGACTTTGTCACAGGTGACCTAAAAAGGTGACGCCGGACGACGGCTGGGCCAGGTGAGCTAAAAATGCAGGAGAAAATCTCCGGATAAAAAATAAAATACTGAAATGAATAAAGAGCAATAACTTCTGCAAAAATCGTTGAATCTAAATTCTTTTGAAGGAAATTCAACATATCATGACTATTTAGCCTACTAAGTTTCAAAGAAATCTGTCAAACAAGAGGTCAACTGGACCTGTATCGCTCACCTGGTTTTAAATTTAAGTCATTACAACTGAATGCATTAGTACATCTTCATATGACATTTCCTCTAATCAAGACAAGATCTATGTTCTAACCCAACTGGGACCACAATATCTGACTTTCAACTAATCAGGGGCCTCCATTGAGTTGCCATGTTAACAGATTTGAAACCATTTGAAATAAGTAATATGTCGTTTTACAGGGTGTAATTAGACAATTCAGTAATTTTCATTCAACTATAAGCTTTTATAAACCTAGAAACCAATTTTTAACAATTTATAAAAACTACATCATAGCATATGATAATCTAGCTGTACCATTTCTTAGGATCACAGGGGTCAAATCAACCTCATTCAATTGAGAAATGTTTGAGGAAATTAAATGATATTAGCGTCTTAAAGCAAAATATTCGATAATTTTCCGCTTTTTCGGTCTTCCTAGTCCTAGGGGTCGAACCAGTCTCATTTATTAAGGAAATGATTGCCCTTCCCTAGTGATGCTTTAGACTTAATTTGGTTGAAATCCTCTCTGACGTTAAGCAGGAGATGCGTTTAAAGCAAATTTAGCTAAGTTCCTCTTCAGGGCCCAGCCCCCAGCCCCCCTGGCCTCAGGGGTCGAACCAAACTCATTTATTTAAGAAATGATTGCCCTCCCCTAGTGAAGCTTCCGACTGAATTTGGTTGAAATCCTCACTGGCGTTAAGTAGGAGATGCGTTTTAAAGCATATATAGCTAAATTCCCCTTCTGGGCCCCGACCCCCTGGCCTCAGGGATCTAACCAACCTCATTTATTTAAGAAATGATTGCCCTCCCCTAGTGATGTTTCAGACTAAATTTGGTTGAAATCCTCACTGGCGTTAAGTAGGAGATGCGTTTTAAAGCAAATATAGCTAAATTCTTCATCTGGGCACCGATCCCCTGGCCTCAGGGATCGAACCAACCTCATTTATTTAAGAAATGATCATGATTGCCCTCCCCTAGTGATGCTTCAGACTAAATTTGGTTGAGATCCTCACTGGCGTTAAGTAGGAGATGCGTTTTAAAGCAAATATAGCTAAGTTCCACTTCAGGGCCCCGCCCCTTTGGCCTCAGGGGTCAAACCAACCTCATTTATTTAAGAAATGATCGCCTCCCCTAGTGATGCTTCAGACTAAATTTTGTTGAAATCCTCACTATCGTTAAGAAGGAGATGCGTTTTAAAGCAAATTTAGATAAGTTCCACTTCAGGTCCCCTGGCCTCAGGGGTCGAACCAAGAAATGATTGCCCTCCCCTAGAGTTGCTTCAGACTAAATTTGGTTGAAATCCTCTTTGGCGTTTAGGAGGATATAGGTTTTAAAGAAAAGTTGACGATGGACGACGACGACGGACAACAGACGCTGCGCATCGGCAGGTGAGCTTAAAATGTAGGAGGAGATTGCCGGACAAAAATCAAATACTGAAATAAACAAAGGGCAATAACATTTAAAAAGAAATCGAATCATAATTCTTTTAAATGGAGATACAACTTCATATCATGATTATAATGTATACCAAGTTTCAAAGAGATCGGTCGAAAAAGGTAGGAGGAGATTGCCGGACAAACAAAAGTTTACGCTGGACGGACGGACAAAGCCATACCATAACACTCCCGTCAAATTTGACGGGCGTATAATAAAGGGAACTTATAATTACTGTGTGTACGAAACACTACGGTGGAATTTTCTAGTGTTTTGTTCTGCCGTGTAACAGGAATCTGTAAGGTGTTGACAGTTTATCACCAGACCTGATCATCCCTAACACAGACACGCATACAAAGGATAATGTGAAAACCTTACTACCATAATATAGTATTGTAGGTATTTCAAGACCCTCTGACCTTAAAAGTATATCAAGGTTATTGGTATGAGGAAATTTTATAGATCTCGGGTACCTACTGGCAAAACATTAGAAAACATGGGCCTTATGGAACCTGATTAGAATACCCTTAAAGCAGATCAAAATGTCCAAGCAGTTTTCTCCACATCCTCCACCTGACAAACTTGACATATCCCATCATACAATTGTGCGCTTAACACGCCCCCCCCCCCCCCCCCCCCCCCCCCCCCCCACATCATGAAAAAGTTCCATTCTACTTGAATTATAATGAGAAATAAAGGTATATACTAGAACTCACCTCCATTGATGATTTTTTTAATTTCTATTTCTTTTTTCTCCACATATGTTGCCAGCTTTGGATTGATCTGCCGAAGGTTTGATATCATTTTTGTATAGTTGCCAATACCTATCTTCTCTTTTTCCATTAGACGGTTAAATAAGCCAGATATATCATGGATTTTTTTATTGTCGTTAGCAGTAAGTGGGATATTATTGAACAGCGCCTTAAGTCGGCATAGGTGGTCATCATTAATTTGTTCACCAAGATAATCCACCATTTGGTTGTGAATTTCAAAGGCTTCTTCTGGAATGTCTTGATTGGAAGCCATGTTTTACGGTTTCTGTACGCACCTGAAAATAAATATAGCAAATTTCATGACAATCGTTGGAAACATTCAACAGTGAGGGCCGGCCCACATAGATATATCTCCCCATCCCCAATTCCTAAGTGTTGAATTCCCAAAATAAAACATACACAACAATGGACCAAGGTTAACTCTCTTAAGAAATTTGAGAAAAATCTGTCAAGTACTTATTGCAAAATAGCATAAACATGGTTAAACTTTCAAAACCTACGATGGCTGCCTTGCGGTCATCTTGATTTCTGAGCAGTTCCAAAATGAAACATGCAAAGTTTCAGACCAAAGAGAACTATCATATCAAATTTGAGAAAGATCTTTCAAGTGCTTTTTGAGACAAAGCGAAAACAAGCGTGAACTTTAAACATCAAAGATGTCTGCCTGTCAGCCATTTTGTTTTTTATTAGTCCCAAATGAAATGTGCACAAATTTGGACCAAGGAGAACTTTCAAATGTAATTTGAGAAAGATTTATTGGGTACTTATTGAGAAATAGCGATGACAATCTTGAAACCTCAAAATCAAAGATGGCCATCTCGTTTTTCTAATCAGTCCCATAATGAAACATAAACAAATTTGTACAAAGGAGAACTTCAGTACATAGGAAATTTGAGAAAAGATCTTTATGTGCTTCTTGAGCAATAGCAATAACAATCTTGAAATGTCCAAATCCAAGATGGCTACTTGCAATTGTAGGCTTTTTTGATTCCCTGAGTTAACTATATGGAACAAGGGGAACTTCGAACTCATATGAATTTTAAAAAGATCTTTCGTAGTTCTTGACATTAACTGACCCCCAGTGACCATATAGGCGAATATCATTCATTGGAACAAATTTCATAGTCCTTCATCCCAGCATGCTTACAGGCCAAATAATGTGATTCGAGGCATTTGAACTTGTAAACACATATGACCCCTGTGACCTTGAATACAGCTCAAGAACATTTTCAAAATGGCCAAATTTGTTGGGTTCCATCCCAGGAAGCTACCAGCACAATATCATGAATCTAGAACTTTTTAGGAAAGTTGGTTGGTTTTTTTTCGACAAATTTGACCCCTTTGACTTTGAATATAGGTCAAATCATTTCTCAATCTAATTAAAATTATATCTTCACATCGCTCCAGTTGAAGATCTAACAACATTCCATAGAGGGTCACGTCAGAGGTCAACATGAATGCATTATCGTATTTATAACAAGCCAATCAAAACGCGACATAACTCTTTCTTTCAATCAATCAGAAAGCAGGACCTGTAGCATTTAATGCAGACACCTCGTAGCCCAAAATCCACTTTTTCGTCTGGTCCAGTGATAGTTTGAATATTGCGAAGCCTGTCATTGGTTAATTGTAGTTTCAGGTTGTTAAACTTTTTAACGACAACATCACCAGAAGAGGAAGTCTCTCTTATTTCAAAGCAGATCCACAAATTGAACAAACGTTGTCTTGTAGATAGACACGGCGTGGTGTCATGGGCGCCGCCATTTTCGATGCTCATTTGACAACTCTCGGTCTTTTATCATAGCAAGTGTGTTCCGAAATCATTACATCATCACTTACAGAAATGCGTAAGCTCTCATCTGATTGGTTAATGCAAAGGTCGCCTGAACATGACCCTCTACGGGATGTTGTTAGATCTTCAACGCGACATATCAGTAAACGAGAGCGATGTGAAGATACAATTTTAATTAGATTGATCATTTCTATTGCAAACTGTTTGGGCCTGCGAAGCTAACAATATAATAAACTGATTCTAGACCTTTCAATAACCGGTATTATTATATCGGAATACTGTGTCTAAGAATAGATTATTGTAAACATACTAATTTAAGGACATGGCTAGTAATACCTGCGTTTCACGATAAAGACTTCCCAGAATGCTAATTCACTTTATTTAAATTAATTTATAAACTAGAAATATGTCTGGAAGACATAACAGTGCTCGCAAATACTGAAGATTCCGCCTGCTAGAATCGGAATTTTGTTTTAGATTTTAGGCCTTAATTGTGTCACAGTGACTATACATTTATGTATCTGAATGTAGCCACGGTGTTATAAGTTTCATTTGTATACATACATGTATAAAATTACGGTATAATAGTCATGTTGGGTTAAATTCTGCCATGATGTTTGATGTGTGATGTTGAAGAAAGAAAAATAATTTGGCCAAAAATCAGTATAGTTCCGGGTTTTGCTTAAAGGACTCACACAACTAAATCAGCCAATCAGCAAGTGTTTCATACGTTTGTTGTCCCTATCTAAAATTAGTTCCGGCTAATTACTGGGTCACTGAGGAAGTTTAATAAGGAACTGATGACAGATTTTTAGATAAATGAAATGTTCAGGTATTTAACTTTTGAAAAATGTTTACTTTTGATATATTTCCATGTCTGTGTGCGGATTTGCACAGGGGCAAAATGTATGGGGGCGTTTCTGTTTTGGGTCACCGGTTATGCTTGTAAACTTCCGGTTGTCAACTTCTGGACGCTGTGACACTCTAATATGCCACTAAACCTATCACAAAAGTCGTTTTGTAACCTTTTCAAGGTATGTATTTATGAATCTAGACAGTTGTCACTGGTGTTGAACTTTAAATAATAAAGTTATTAGCTAAAATGTTTGGTAATAACATATAGTAAATTATTTAGTTGTGTGAGTCCTTTAAGGTAATAGTATTGTGTCACCATTTCTCAGTAGAATTTCTTCAAATTTTGTAGTTATATTGCTTTAAAGTAAAGAAAATTTTCTGCCGCCAAAAAAATATAGGTTGTCAGAATTTTAAGGATTTTAAATGGAAATTTATGTAAAAAGGAGTGAATTTTGAAAAAAAATGAAAGAGTACACAATATTTTTACAAAATAATGTCAATAAAAATTATACTGACATATATTAATGTATATTAATGCATTAATGTATATCGATTTAATAAATGCCGAAATTGTGTAAAAATTATCCTCTATACACGATATAAAAATTGACATTTTATAATAAAACCGTATCCACATAGTAATTGCAGGCAAGAGTTATCGTTCTTGAAAACTTCACAGTAGTGAAATAGGTAGCCGGTTTCCTGAAGTACAGAAAAATGGACACATGTGACTCATTGATAAAAAAAAACCTGAATTAATACCTGGATTGCTTTGAAATACTTTAATATTGAGAGAACACAATGTTCTGTCAATAATAAACATACAATATTCATCAGTTTAATATTAAACATTAGAATTTGCGGAAATTGTGATACTGTCTCCCTACATTGGATTTTCAACTAGGGATGTACTTCCTGTTTCCGTTTATCAATACAATCCAATGACCTTAAGTCACTGAGGCGCTTAACAATCGAAGCCTATAAAAGCGCTGTTGTGATCTACCGCTTCAGCTTATCATGAACTAGCGTGTTCGACCGGACTGTTGGAGGTAACATTTGCCTATCTACAATAAGTAGAACTTTGGTAAGAAGTATGTATACGTTGTATACTATTCTATTGCTGATGACGTGAATGCATAAAGGTAAATTTTGCTGGAAACGTTTGCTAGCAACACTGACGTTCATATCCGGTAGGCCTACAATATGCGCAGTGGCTTTTTGTGAATTACGGAAAGAGAACACAGATGCACAGAGTGAGACTAATTTAAAAGTGCGATTGCTTCGCTAGCACTAAAAACAATATAACACAGGATGTTGCAATCGTTACCAACGAGTTTTTAAAGGATTTGATTTTCATCCTTACTGCATGCCAAAACATGTTTTCTTACAAAACACACTTCTTAATTTTGCTCCTCCAGCAACCTCGATTTGAAAAGTTACATATAATTTTGAAATAGTATGTTTTACTCGTGTATTTAGCTCCTTACTTCGTTTTGCAGTCTTCCCGCTTTTTAAACAAACGAGACTGTCCTAGCTGATGACCTTTATCGTACTTTCAGAAAAATATAATAATAGTTTATTTTTCCTGCTTGCCCTTTTTTTTATTGTGGTGCAACACATCTTACATATTATTCAGCAGACTTTCACTCACTTCACAATACCATGTCTTTCTTGGGGTTGGTAGAGTTCTTGCAACCGTTCGAAATGTCTTATTAAGTTTTCAAAACATTATGATACAGGGGGTTCAGTTCCAAGTTTTAGCTCACCTGGCCCGAAGGGCCAAGTGACCTTATCCAATGGAGTAGCGTCCGTCTTCCGTCGTCCGTCAACTTTTCCCTTTAAAACGCTACTAGTCCTGAACGGCTCAGAGAATTTTGACCAAATTTGGTTTAAGGCATCATTGGCCAAAGGGTTCTCAGTTTTGTATAAACGGAGGGTATGGTCTGCCTGAGGGCAGAGGGGCGGGGCCAAATAGGGGGGAAATAGGTAAATCTTTAAAAATCTTCTTCTTCTCAACCAATAGAAGGATTTTGACCAAATTTGTCCTAGATCATCTTTGGACAAAGGAGACTCAAGTTTGTATAAACGGAGGGTGTGGCCCCTCTGGGGGCGGAGGGGCGGGGCCCAATAGGGGAAATAGAGGATTTTTTCCCTACTATACAAGTGAAGGGATTTAAACCAAATGCAGTCTGAAGCATGGTTAGGGACAAAAGAATCAATTTTGTATAAACTAAGGTGTGTGGGCCCCATTCTAGGAGCAGATGGGTGGGGCCCATTAGGGAAAATAGAGGAAAACATCAAAGATCCTTCTCCTTTTGTACCGATGGGGTGAGGATCTCAACTATTTCAAAGCTGTGGGGTCAGCCCCACCATTTGTACAATTTTGAATCCCCACCTTCCATGAATACTTTTGATCAAATATGATTGATATCCAGACAACAGTTCTACGGACGGAGTCGTTATAGCAATATAGCCAAATCGCCTTTTTTTTGCCCCGCCCCTCAGCCCCCTGGGTGGACAGCCCAAACATTTGTACAATTTTGAATCCCCACCACCTAGGGATGCTTCCAGTCAAATTTAGTTTAATTCCAATCAGTGGTGAAGAGGGAGAAATCATTTGAAGAACTT